GCGGGAGCCGCCCCGCGCTGGTGGCAGCGATGCCCGCCCCGGCCCAGCACAGCACGCCCCTCCGGTTTGTAGAGTGCGTGCAAGGAGGGGGCTTTTAGTGTGTGTGTGTGTGTGTGTATGTGTGCGTGCAAGGAGGGGGCTGTTAGTGTGAGTGTGCGTGCAAGGAGGGGGCTCTGAGTGTGTGTGCGTGCAAGGAAGGGGCTTTGTATGCGTGCAAGGGGGCTCCTAGTGTGTGTGTGTGTGCAAGGAGGGGGCTCCTAGTGTGTGTGTGTGTGTGTGCGTGCAAGGAAGGGGCTTTGTATGCGTGCAAGGGGGCTCCTAGTGTGTGTGTGTGTGCGTGCAAGGAGGGGGCTCCTAGTGTGTGTGTGTGTGCAAGGAGGGGCTCTTGGTGGGGGGGGGGGTGTGTGTGTGTGCGTGCACAACAGGTTTGAACTCAGGCCTGTACCAGGATGGAGTTTACAGGGAGTCTAAAATGCATTGTTGAATTATGGTGATTTTGCTGAAAAACTTGAGTCTTCCCTGCATTTACCAATTGGAAACTTACCTATGTTTTGATTACCGTTTCTTGTCAGTGGGAGTGATTGTGTTCTACCTAGGTTAACTCCTGGTAGGACAGGGAAGATGTTTAATTTTATTTACTTTGTCTGTCTTCTTATGGCATCTCAGATTTTTGTTTTGCAGAATGTTAATTTTTACAATGGTGAATATTAAATGAGTTGTGAATAATAAAATGCATATCTTACAAATGGCAATAGGGTTTGAGTTTGTTTTTGGTTGTTTTTTTTAACAGTTTTCTGACCTGCAAGAGAGACTTTCAGAAAACTGTGCTATCTGCTCAGAGAGAACAGACATCTGTTATGCCTGTCAGCTAATTGAATCTTTAGTTATCGTAACTGACTAATTTTGACCAATAATATTCATAATCCATGCATGCCAAAGTAGGTGGTAATAAAGCTCATAGGTCAGGTCTGATACAGAGGGTGTGTGTGGGGGGGGGAAGGGGGGGCGGGGGTGCCACTGGAGCACTGAGTTGCCTCTCTGCCTTATTGGCTTGCTTGTATCCTACTAAAGATCAGTTTGGGGCTTTTTTGCAAAATAAGGTACTGGATTAAATGGACTAGTGGTCCAGTCTTGAATGACAGTACCTGTGTTTTAGAAGACAATGATACTGTAATATGACTTGGTGCTCAGTGGGAAAGTTAAGATTGTCACCAGTGGACTACAGGTCTGCTGACTACAGGTAAAACAAGAGTGTCTAGTCTTTAAATGTGGTTTCTAAAGGTTGGCTTGTTTGTTTAAAATGGTAATATTCTTTTTTTATAACCAACTTTAACCAAAAGTTAAATGGTTGTGAAAGATGCGACTCCTGTTACCTTCTGTAGACAGGCTCTGGTCTCCATCAAAATGCAGTGTCTGAGTTTAGTAATGTGTTAATAACAGACTACCTGCAGATTGGTCCTTCCACTCAGTTAGTTGAAGAACTCGCCATATTTTTTAAAGCTTTGGGTTTGCAATAGATGTGATTTCTCACAGAGCTTGGGTGTCTTAATTTGTCATTAGCCAGCAATTGAGAGGGAAGACTTGGTATCGAGTTAGCCAAGGCTGTACGGGCTAGAATGTTGTTCCATGTTTAGTGGCTTTGCAGACATGAGTAAAATGTCCATTCATTTAAAATACCATCCTAACTAGAAATTTGGGATAAGCAACACTGAGCTATTGAAGGGGAGCTTCCATTACTACTTTATTTTGCTGATAAGCAGAGGACTTTGGTCTCAGACTGAATTCAGCACTAAAATTTACTTTAAAAAATTGGCTCCTTCTCT